TTAATTTAATAAAGCGTTTAACTTTGCTGTTTAAATATTTGAAAAGGTTTTATATTTGTATAAAATTTACGTTAATAATTAACAAAATTATATTTAATATATGCTATTTTTTGATTGGCGTAGGATTTTCTTTAACAACTTAGTACCTCTAACCGAATCAGTCAGGGTTTTAGGTTTTGGGTTAGTTTAAAAATTTATTTATATACGCTCCGAAAATACATTTGAATTCTTGTATAGTTTTGACAGCCGTGTATATTTTAATTACTGGTAGGTAAATTAATGATAATGACATAACTCCAATGTCATGGAGATAAAAATTGTTGTTTCTTTAATGACTCATGACGTTATTATAATATCATAACGTTAATCATAATTTTATCATAATTCTTCAACAGAGTTCATTTAGCTAAACAATATTCATATTATTAAGCTATTAATCAATGTAAATATTGATCTGTTGAATTAATTAGTTGGTAATGTTAAAATGATTAATAGTAAACAAGTTTATTTTTGAAGAAATTTTGTTATGATTGAAGCCTTAATTAAATAAATGATTAATTAACCTTGTACAACCCCAAAAATGACCTATCACAATTATTGATTTTTGTTATATTTTATACATGTTAAACCAAAGCCATGTGAGGCTATTTATCGAGGCACAAAGAACAACAAGTTTGCAAGCAAGAATCTATAAGTAACACACACACATATATACCCGCCATATGCCTTGCTTATGGAATTAGCTAACTTCAATCATTTTAGATTATTCCATATTTATTAGACACGTACAAACGTTCTCTGGTTGATTATAAATAAAAAGTAATATACCATAAATATTATTTATTATAAAGATAAAATAATTTATAGTAATTATTGTTTTTCTATACAAACCCGTCACCACTTCAGAATTTATCTTAATACATATTATATCCAAGCGAAAATATATCTTAATGAAACTTTAACGAAACACTAATCCCCTATTAATTTTACCCAATGACAAAATACAATAAAATATGTATGTCCATTAAAATTATTAATTTGCCATTAGAATCATCGCCATAATTATTATGAATGTGGTTGGATACGTAAATTAAAGAAGAGAAATAAAAAATAAAAGTTAAAATTTTGGTTATAGTAATTTAAAAAATTAGTGCTACTTACTGTACTATTAAAAATAATAAGTACCCGGCTCACATGACAGCCAAGAAGTTGGCAAGTCCCGGCTGAAAACCGCCACGTAAATAGACATCAGCCGTTGCGTGGGAGTTACCAGATCAAAATATTACAGTAAACAACCGAAATAGACAGATGAAATATAGAAGTACAACAATATTTTTGATAACAAGCTCTCTCAGACGTATTGTTCATTCAGAGATAAAGGTTTTATATGCGCAATAGATAAAAGAACTCATAAAGTCTTTTTATGGCAATATTATAACGTGTTTGGAATGCAATTATTGAAATCAGAATAAAATTTGCATTACAAAAGCTCAGGCGATTCTATGAATAATTTATCCGCGGTTATTTTTATATTTATGAGAACTGACTATTCGACCGAGTTAAAACATCCTTTACCGCTTATGGTCGCTAAATGCCATTACATAAAACTTTAAGCAACCTAAAAAGCTTTTGTAACAAGTAAGCAGACACGAAGATTAATAAAATAAATGTGATCCAAGCTCGTTTTATAGGTTGGATATACAGCCTCTTTTTAATATAGTACTTTTCTAGGTTTTCTTTTTATCAAGAAAGCAGCAGCAGATGATGATAAATTACGCCTACCTAAGCTTTCACACGATAGGCGGTTTTGCGGTGTGCCATACTAGTCTCCGAGCTCAGGTACTAGGGGAGCATGGCCCGAGAGAGTCAACGTGCCGGTAATATGAACAGCACACAGGGTACAATCGATACAGCCCACCCCTTACAAGGGGATGAATTTAAATTATTCACAGCGGGTATAATTCGCCACCGTCTTTCACAAACAAATTACGTATGCACAGCTATTAACGATACACTCAGCTTCTGGGCCACACAAAGCTTTCAATTATACTCTCGAGATTAGCGTTAATACCTCCAATACTTAATTACCTCCTTCAACAATCTGCTAACCGAGTATTTCAAATAAGCGCTTGGCAATATAAAATTTACGAGAACAAAATTTTCAATTTATTTTTGATGTAATTTGTGTATAACGAACAAAATAAATTATAGAAGAAACAAGTTGGTTCCAGAAAATGAAAAATAGGCAGCAAATTGTTGCATTGGAATTTCACGTCAGTATCAATCATATCTTAAACGCCCAACACAAAGTAAGAAGAGGGAGAAAATAGCTGCAAAGAGATTGAATATCGATTCTCGACTCGACAGCAATCTGAGGGCGAGGGCGACGGAGGGGCGGAGAGGGACGCTCGTGACAATTTATGTTATTGCCCGGACCTGGACAGTGGTGATACGGGCCCCTCATGTAATTGTTAGTTACCACAGGATATTGGAGCATTAAGCGAACGGTGATTGATTAAGCGGCGATAACGATTATCGTCAGGGATATTTCGAAAAATACGAGGGTAACACTTCGGTTGGACTCCGGTAATTAAATACCGTGGTAATTTACAAAACAAACCCTCGATGAAACACAACCTCCCTTTATTAAGCCAGAAGATCAACAAATATTTTAATCCTACAAAATAACATCGCATTTCCGACAAAACCCAACACATGGACGTGAAAAAACAGAGTTATTATCTTAAGTCAAACCCAACAGAACCCATTAGTAAACAACACGGGCGCAAAGGAGGGCAAAATAGCGGCTTATAAAAAAGGTAACAAAAAATCGGCTTTTGATCCTCGGCTCCCCTATATTGCATTTCGTGAAGGTTTTATTAGTCTGCGGACTGGTCGGGCGACTTTTGTTGATTCTGTGTAATCGTCTCTCGTACTTTATTTGAATTTTATTCAGCGCACTCTGTGGCAAACCATATGACAAATTACTGTTGAATATTCACAAATCGAGCTTCAAAATCACTGTTTAATATTGCATGTCAATTAATTTATAACTACCTATACGTAGTACTTATAAATTGTTTAATATCATTATTCCACTTGGCTTAACAAATATTGTAATAACTGCCTAATTGTTTACAAGATAAGACGCGTTGTAAAATTGTCAAGAATTGTTATCTTGAAACGAATTATTTTAATCATACCCTTATGCATAACGGTAAAGTAAACTCCGCGTAATGGAGTTGAACATTTTCAAAGCGTTTACCAGCAATAACATTGGTGTTTATATATTTGGGGAGCATTTACTGCGACAAATCCGTTTCGAAACTTTCCATTCGAACAAAGAGCCGGCCAGGTACACGCCAGCTGGGGATTACTGCTCCAACACACTAATCGACCAACCGGTCGCACGATTTTGTCGACTAAAATTTATGTCTATCCCGAAACGCAACATCCCTCGGTACGTCTTAATTATTCGAAAGGCATATTTCAATAGAGATTTTAAACCGTTAAAGTAACTGTAAAAATGATGAATATGTCAACGCGAAAGTCTACACGGCTAACAGCGAGTGCAATTAATTTTGAATCAATTTGTAATGGAGTGAATTATATACTCAATTGTTCATGACATGAGTAGCTAACTAACCGCAGGGGCAAAACGCGAAACGGAAATAATAATGGCATTTGTTAGATGGCGCCGCGGGCTCGGCCTCACATCCTAATTACGCCAATAATAATTATCCAGTAGGCCGCGACTGGCAGCTGACACCTCCTTGCGCCTTCTGTTGCCTTGTCCATTCACGAACGAATTAAGATACGCAATTCCTGTTTATTTTTAATATAAAAAAAATATGCTCGCTAACTTTGACAGATAAAATTCAAAAATGCTATTTTTGTTCAAGTAGAATTTCAGATTTATTCAGTGAAATGTATCGCCCACATACGTTTGTAATATCAATATCATTTGAAATTCAGCCAAGCGCATCGGTCTCAAGATCTATTGAGAATGCTTTCCGCATGGGTTCTTAAGGAAATTTTAATGTTTTTTATTTATTGCTTGTGACTATCGAATACTTTTACTAAGATATTATTTAACTATGAGTGCACCAACGGAGCGTTATAGCATAACAAAACAAAATAGTCTTTGTTTAAAGTACAATTGTATACAAATGAGAGGAACTTCGCTTTAGGTTGAAGCAATAACCTTTCGTAAAATGAATGATGGATACGCCCGAGGCAGGTAACACGATACGTCCTTTCCAAGATATAAATAAAATCATCGAAGCGAAAAAATCGAATTTATCACTTATGTTCATGACGGCTTGCGCAAATATCCTCTACACGCACGCAGATAATTACAAACATTGTTATTTTATTGTTTTTTGTCAATGTTTAAATTACAAGTCGACTTTGAATATGTATTCGAGCTTGTTAGTCTAGTTAACCGAGAACATTGATCAGCTAACTACTAATCAGCATGTAAATTTATTCAGAGCGATCAGTATAATCGAACGCGACGGATATTAACCTCATTTGAAACGAGACATGTTAAATATCATGTTACCCTGGTCAAAGATAGAAATCTTATTAATTTGTCACATTCAAAGGCCACCAAAATGGACTTTAACTACTTGTTTTATAATAAATAAACAACTTGTCAATATAAACGCTTTTTGGTTGAGTAGCCCCGAACAGAGATGTAAACAAAATGGCCGTTGACAAAAACTGTTCGGCGTGACGAAATCAATTACCCAAAGAATAGGGTAAATAAAATAATCTATTTAGTAAAAAACATTTTTATAAACAGTAAACATATATTCTTTTTTTAAACGCCAGTTTTCTTTTATCTTCATAAAAGGTTTAGAGTAGTTACAGAAAAAAAGCAAAACAAAAGAGCAGTGAAGTGCTAACGCTCTTACATTTTAAAACGAAATTGATATCTCCTTTAATTATCGCGAAAGTTCCCGGTTGGGGAACGTAAAATTGATTCCGCTTATACTTTAGAAGTTTTTAGGGTCCTCGACAGTGATTAATGAATGGAATTTCGGAGAGCCCTCACAAGAAAAGCAAAGGGAGACGACCCTTCCATCTTTACACTTGAAATGCTCGAAACTCGTCTTATATCTAAAGCGATCCAATTTACTACGCTCATAAAACATTGTGGCAACCATCTGCACACATAATAAAACAGACAATACCATTTCTGAGCTCAACTTTAACATTATTCATTATGCAAATACGAATACATGTTTAGCGTTTAAATTGATTTCTTAAAATGCATATTTGACATTTAAATGGCCGTTTGTGGTTTATTACTAACGCAAAACAAGTCTTTAATTTGATTTACCAACCAAACGACGGAATCTGTGTTTGTGAAAGACTAAACCATATGCAACAAGCAATTTTTAAGTAAAATTGCTATAGCCCAAACTCTATTAGACGCATGTTGAAATCGAGTAATTAATCTGAATTAATAGGCGAATATATCGATTGGCCTTGCCCAACTATATAAGATTAGATTAGGCTTGAATATTACAAATGCTTTTTATCTGCAATATAGATATAACAGAAGGGTAATGCGATTTTTTTTAAATTTCATAGATTTATTTCCACTGCCAAAATAAAAACTCAAAAGCTTAATCTTAAATCTGGTACGTTCATCTCACATTACACGTTTATTTCTCAAGTTGTCACCACAATTTGATGCGGTCTGACGCGATGGTAGACTCTTTTGATAATGTTGCAGAAACTCGTGTTGCAATTGCACGTCACGTTTTGATTAATGACACTTGCAATATTGCGGTGAAATGCGCTTTTATTATGCCTATTATGGCTTGATGAGTATGACCTATTAACATCTTAGAGATCGGAAAGCCGTTGGCTCTACAAAAACTACTATCTATAAAAGGGCCTTTGTTTACACGTAGTATAATGAATATGTAGACGTTTCAATGCGGGCGTATTTATTTATAACCGTTATGCCGTTAACGATTCGTTCCTTAGCAGTCAGTCTTTGTTGGAGCAGTTAATGCTAAGTCTAATCAAATCTTATCTGCAACATCTGCGGTGTCCCAAAGGCAACAATATCATTAATTTGTCGAGTGCAGCGAACGTGGTCGGGCGGCGGGTGGCGGGGTGATTTAATGAACCGATGCGGGGTGACAGCGCGGATTACACCCCGCGCCACAACGCCCGTTTGCACTCAATCAACCCAGCAAACAGCCCTAAGCCCCGCCAATTAAATACACTCCGAAACAATTGGATACATGCCCGATAAGAGCAATCGGACAATTAACTGCTGATTATACTCATTGATTGATAACTAACATGACAACTCTCGGCTAAACTGGATCAAGGTTCTCAGATAACTGGTTGTTACATTTTAAGTATTCATACACGACATACCGTTTTAAAATGACATGTCGCACAACAGAAGTTTAGAAAAACAAGTAGCACGGCATGTAATAGTGATTGATTACTTGACAGAGACAAATGACCTGCCCTACGCTTGACAATTATTATAACGCTCTACCGATGCAAAAACGTTATGGCACCTGTAAGTCAGGTTCTTGAATTCATGTAGACAGCAATTAGAATGGTTTATGTCGACTATTATAAAACCTTCTAAAGAATTGCTCACCTGGGCGAATGGCCTAACAATCAGTATTGAAGACAAGGTGGTTGTAATTGTATAGTATAAAGTAGTTAGAACTTACCTTAGATTCAGTTTTCTGTTTCTTTGCAGGCGGTTGCGAACTAGGCGGTTCTGGCCGGGAGTCCTCGGGCTCGGGCTTGGCAGGTGATGCGACAGGCGCGGGCGCGGGCGGTGGGGGAGGTACAGGGACGGGTATCGCGGGCGCGGACGTCGTTGCCGGCTTGGGTTCGACACGCGGGGCCGCCGGCCTCGAGTCCGGCTTGGGCGGCTGGGTCGGCGCGTGAGAGGTTACGTGTGGTATGTGGGGCGCGTGCGGCGCGTGCGGCGCGGCCTGCGATGGCGCAGGCGGACCGGGCGCATTGGGCGTCGGGGGCACTCGCTGCACGCCGTTAAGGTCATGCGGCGCGTGGGGATGGTGGTGCTTGTCACGTGCTTTGTCCCGCCGGTGACCGCCGGTGCGCTTAGCGGCGGCGGGCGGAGCGGCGGCCGCGGCGGCCGTCTTGGGCTCGCCGTTCATTTCGTTCGACTTGACGATCTCGTGCTTTGCCTCGGAGCTCTTGGTGCCGGGCTTGGTGCGCTTGATCTTCATCTTGAGCGCGGTGCGCTGCGCGTCTGGTTCGGCGCGTGCCGCCATGCCGCCCGCCTCGTCGGTCTTCTCTATGTCGGCATCGAGGTCTATTATGAGGTCTCCGATGCCGATGTCCCACTCGTTGTCATCGTACTCGAAGTTGGCGTGGGGCGCGTGAGGCGCGTGGGGCGCGTGGGGCGCGGGGCGAGCTCCGCCGGCCGGCGCGCCCTCCCTCATTGGCGCCGCCATGCGCGCCGGCAACCCGCCGCCGCCCCCCGCAGCCACGCACACACACACACCATTGTAGCCCTGCAACAACACACCATATTCCACTTCAACACCAGGCAATCAACAACAGCAACGATTGCCAACCTTAAGCAGTATGATTAGGTAACAAAATACTAGGGTGACATAGCAATAAGGAGCGGGCAATTTACGAGCCTCGATTCCCTAGGGCTAAAAGAAACGACAATTACATCAAAGCTCTTAATTAATTTACCATCGCATTCGTACGGACGAGTTCGTCCTTTATGGATATAATGAGTTTCGATATTCCTCGACCTCTGAGCCGCTATAAAAATTAATATGGATCCATAAAAGACTTAAATGAACATATCCATTTAAATTATATACCTCTATAGAAAATTTCATATCGTCCGGAGTTATTACCAATTCGAAGTGGCAATAATCGTAAAATACTCATAAAACTCGCAGATAAGCACGCTTATTCTTGTTGAATAAACCTAGAGGCACTCATGAGTGAGAAAATAAGTACCTTATAAGATTCTTCATCGGTTTATTTGTTTATCGATATCAATAGGACATATATCAAGAACAATGATTGTTTTGTTCTAAAGCTTGTCATTTCATAATCTTGGCTCTGCGAGAACAGATATTTGTCTCTGTTTAAGATTAATTATTATACTATTGAGTAATTATTAGAGATATATCAGTCAGATGAGCGCTAATATTGATTTAATATCCAAAGCAATTACAATGCACTTCGAGTTTCAAGAGATATACCAGGAATTTCGCCTCTAAGTCTAGATTAAGAAATTTAATTGGATATCTTGTATTTCGTAGAATCAACTTAGTATCTTGGTTCAAATTATTTATTATTATTATAAAACCTTTATTGCTGACACCCAGTATAAAATATATATATATATATATATACGTAAATACTTGTTTAAGTTACATAACGTAACTTAATCTACGCTATGGTGGTACGACACATAGGCCTCTTTCAGCTGCTTCCATTCTTTCCTAATGTTTGATCTTCTTGTACAAGTTGAGCCTCCTTCTCTTTATATCGTCTGCCCATCTCTTTCTCTGTCTTCCTCTTTCCCTATTTCCACCTCGTGGTTGCCATTCTGTAATATGTTTTGTCCATGTGAACCTGCTATCTCTCGTCATATACCCGGTTCAGTGCCATTTCAATTGCCTTATTTTCTATATAATGCTGTACTTTGGTCGTCAATGCTCTTCTGCTCTGCGATGTCTCAGTGTTACACCATGCTTCTTTCCATTCCTCTTTGGCATGTTCACAAATTATTTAATTATGTCTTAATAATCTATGAAAGAGTCAATTTTTATCGAATTATGTTAAACTAGTTTTTTTCAAAGGTTTAAATTGTAAACAGGATTTTGTGCATTGTCTTTTTGAGAACGAACGAACGCTTTCTGTACTCTTCCTTACCGAGCGACTTGAATAAAATTGATCTAGTAAAACGGGGACTAAAGATACTGTTATGATTTCATGTAACCCTGGTTAGATTCCTTGGCGTTGCGTAGGGTCACTACGCAACGCCAACTACTTACTTGTCTTTTACCGCATCTACCTACCATGGAAAGTGTTTCATAGGTTTGGATTAATTAATACCTGCAGCTGAGTTTAATCATCGAACGTTGAGGCAGAATACGTAATTCCACCCACAATTGAGCCTTTTAAAGGCAGTTTCTGCCACGCACCACCACTATGTGGAACCAGCTGCCCACTGAAGTATTTCCGAACCAATTCGACTTAGGGTCCTTCAAGAAAAGAGCGTATCAATTCTTGCAAAGGCAACGCTCTCGCGAGCCCTCTGTCATTAATTGTCCATGGGCGGCGGTATCACTTAACATCAGGTGAGCCTCCTGCCCGTTTGCCCCCTAATTTATACTGGTATCTTTTTAAGTTCACAGTCAATTGAATAAAATAAATTTGCATTCTCTTAGAAATAGGATATCCTATGCCAATTATCAACAAATAAAGCTATTGAGATATAATTAATGCCTTCATTGGCAGTCGGTTAAGCTTGAGCTTACGTGTTCAGTTTGCGAGTTTTATGTTTCACCAGTGTACTAATAAACACTGAACAAAGTTAGCTCGGTAAAGTTAAATGTTACTACGTTGCGGGAACTGACAGTTAATTTTAATATGGGTCGCGCTCATGCAATCTGGATAAAATAAACGTTTTAACTTCAAAAATAACTATTTGGTTTTGTTCAAAGCTTCAGTTAATTTTATTTTAGTTTACCACGTGTTGACGAGAAAATAATTGTTGATATTTGTAATATTTGACATACTTACAAGTTCCATTAAGTATTTAGTTATATTTGCTTAACAAATTGCCATAACTTAATGTCACAGTCATAGGTGTTTCTGTGATGTGTGAAATATGAAAAGGCAAAACAAAATGGCTGTCGGTCCAGCTCATCTTGGTATTTGATACATAAAATGAAATACCAGGACTTTATAAACTTAAACGATTTTTATTTTGGCAACGTAATCAAATAATTCATCACTTATGAACGTTATTTCCAGTATTTTAGTCTTTTTTAAGTTAGTTATTAATCTTAATTAGTTAGTAAGAGAGAAGTTAATCTTTTAGTAAGTTAATCTTTACGTTTCTTTTTTTTTTCAATCAAAGAGTAAGAAGAAATGATTACGCAAATAAATGTACATATTAACAGCTGTAAATTATGGGCATTGTTAATTTCACCAAACAGTTCATAGTCATACTAAGATTAAAATATAAACGCCGTTTGTTGGCCAAAAAAAAACTGAAATAATATCGATCTTGTAAAACGGGGACTAAAGATACTGTCTTTTTTCTCATGTAATCCTGGGAACAAAATCAGGGTTACATAGAAATGACACTTAAATAAATAATAATTAAAATTACGTTTAACTACATAACTAACTAAACCCCGTTTTGAAATTATATTTAAATTGCCATATGAAAGAAACATTAATGTTAAAATCATTACGAAACTAATTTTCCGACAACCTCATTTAGAAGCCGAAACCGTGCCAACAACAATAAAATTTTAAATATTTTGACTTCGTTCAAGGCGACGTACTTTACGGCTCACTAATGAAAACAATGATATTATTATTATACAATTATTCAATAGGTATATTAATCTATACAAGCAGTGGCTTAAGCGTGGGACTCATCCGTGAAGACGTAGGTTTGAACTCCGCTGTGCACAAAATTAAATGGAGTTTTTTGTCTATCTGCGCATTAAACACGCGCGTGTACTGTGAAGGAAAACATCGTGAGGAACCCGACATGACCGAAAAAGTCGACGGCGCGTGTGACAAAGGTTGATCATCTCCTTGCTTTTTAAGCAAATGATCACGAAAGTAATACAGAAACTGGCGCCATTGTGTTTTTTTTAAATAATTTTCTATGTAACAGATATTAAACAATATTTTTTCAAAAAAAAAAGGATTTCCATTACGATGGCTATTGCGTCTGATGAGTTGTGTACCAACCTCCAATCATGAAGAGGCACCACGAGAACAATGTCCAGTAAACATCGGAAAATCTAGTTGTTTCTTCCATGTCAATAATAAACAAAATAATATTATATAAAATGGACGCCAAGTAATTAACTATAATTAATTACTTGATACAGAAGTTTGTTGTTGTTTTATAAACACAAAAACATCATCGAAATAAAAATATTTCGTCCCATTTCGTTCAAGGAATTAAAAAGGAATAATGTCGCTTCTCGTGTGTGTCATTGATCTCTTATTAAACATATCCTACCTGGATCAAAAAATAACTTTCTTTATTTTATGTTCTGACAATATGATGAAATGGTAAGACCAGACCATTTATGAATATTCATTCATTCAGCGTTTTTTTATAATTCCACAGAACCCAATCAAAAAGTTTTAAACTGGCATATTCTTATCGTCTAAGTCAACTGTCAAATTCCATTGACGTACCGATTCTTTGTACAGGAATTATTACAAAGTATAAACTTTTATCTGAAATGAATTTATGTCGCGTGTTCAAAAGCCGTTAAAAAAATAAATAAAATGAAACGCATGAAGTTGAAAATTAAAAAATAAATGTCAATTACACCTGTCACCTAAATTGCATTGCGTGCATCCATTTAAATATTTTACGTGTCTTCATAAGACTTTAGCATGCGAAATTCTAAAGATTCGCGAAGATTTACGAAAATAATAAATTAAAAAGTTTGACAGCAAAGAAAAAGTTCATATTCTAAGAGATTATTTGCGTTAATAATAAATGTACTAGCGATGTTTATTCGCACAACTATGTACAAACTACTACTTATGAATATTACTGGTATGGTCTGAGAACAAGGAGTAAACTATGTAAGTCCCCTAAGTCATATTTTTTTTTTAAATTCGTAATCAAAAATGTGTAACCCTTAATTTTCATCCAACCCTAATTTTTTTGATACTAGTTTTATAACATTCCCCTGCTATTTGTTACTATCCAACCTCAACGAAATAATGACAGCGATAAGAGCGAATAAGAAGCGATAAAAATGTTGAAAATGACAATTGACATTTCAAATGGCGCGTTCAATTTAGATTATCTCCATAGATGATACTAAACCTACGACTTTTATGCATTTAAAGACCGATTAACATGACGCTTTATGTTTAACCCAATTACCAGAATTCTATTTCGGGAGAAAATTCATCGTTCACATTCATCACAATTATCAGCAATTACGTTATCAGATAATAGTTAATTACACCGCATAAACACTACACTTGTTAATTATCATTGTTTAATTATTTATAATAAGCATTATTGTTTAACACAATTAGTTGAAATGTCCCAATGGGATATAAAGTGAGCTAATGACATTACCGTTATAAATTTAGATTTCGCGCGCAATAAATAACCGCTCGGAAGCACAATACGTTCATTATTATTCAAACATTCGCGAGGAATTCGAATAATAACTCGAATATTGAACATTATTCATCT